CGTCCAAACGAGCATCAGTAGACTTTCATCATACTTATCTCTAAATCTCTCTATCTAAATCCTAATAGGGTTTTAATTCAAGTCTAGAGCTTTTACATGATTTTTCATGATTTGTGCAACAACAAAGCAAACACATCCAACCCAGTTCACAAAATAAATATGTACATAAATTAAAATGCAAGAAAAATAAATTACATAAAATAAAAAATTTAAAATTAAATAAACAATAAATAAATACTTAGAAATAAATAACTTAGATATAAATTAAAAAAAATAAATGAAGGAGATAAGCTTCAAAAAAGAATAAACCGATGGCCTAACTTTAATTCCTAGCGGAGTTACCATTATGTCGCAACCCGACTTTCATAGGACTCTTGAAAATTTTATTGAATGATTTGTTTTGTTAATTTTTTTTTAGCTTAGGGATATGAGTTATTATTGTTTTTTGAGTCACCACCTAATATTGAAAGAACTTAAATCTAAAATGGACACTAGTGTAGAGATTCTAGGATCGTAGTTGTTTACACTTTTGGAAAGATATCGATCACCCAAAAGTTTCATTTCCTAAAAAAAGTACAACATTTAGTTTAGTCCTAAAATTTTTCTTCTAAAAGTTTTATTTTTTTCCAAAATATTTCTTAGTCAATTTCTAAGTTTATTATCTAAACCAAAATTATTTTTGTAGCATCATATTGAACCGATTGTCGAACCCTTTCGTCGGGAGACACATTAGCTCCACATCAAATCTAATTAAATTCTTGACATAACCGATATATCGAAGAATGACTTAATTACTAAAATGTGATTGATTTGGGTTAACAATAGTCCTTATTAGATAGGAGACTTTGTTATTTTTTTTTTTTGTGTGTTTTTCTATATTTTTACCTTTTACCTTTTTTTTCTTTTTGTTTTTCTTTCCATAACATTTCTTTTTGTTCTTTTTTTGTTAGCATTTATTTTTTATTTTTTTTCTTTTGTTCTTTTTTTGTTGTTTTTCCTCGTTGATGGAGAATCATCATCAATCCCTAAAAATTAGAAAACTTAATAATTCATTCATCTATTACTTACCTAACTCAATTATTGGAATACTTCCTAAAATTAAACATTGACTAAACAAATTCAAGGCATTCAAAATACTAAATCTAAATTAAATAAACATGCATACATAATCTAAGTTTTCTAATACAAATAAAATTAACAAATTTGAAAAATAACAATTGTTTTAGAGAGAGAGAACATACCTTCGCACAAGGGGACAAGACGGAGAGGAAAGAGGAAATTCAAGGCTTTTTAGGGATAAACGAGTTTAGAGTAGGTGGGGGTTGCTGGGGAGTGGAGGATTGGGGTTTTATGGTGGTTTCGAGTGGGATCGAGTAGCAATGGCTGGAGGAGGAAATGCAGAGGAAGAAGAAAAAGGAGGAAAAGAAAGAGAAATTGTGATTTAGAGATTTAGAATTAGCAATAGACATAATTCGGTCTCTAATATGTCGCTAATCAACGACGTACATAACCGTCCCTTGCCAATCTGTCTTTGATCCGGCAAAATTTGAATTACCAAAGTCTACTCATGTTTTTTAATATTAGCAATAGACATTCTATCGCTAATTTGCGAGGAAAATATGCAATTAGTTGAAAAATTTCCCTCACTAATCCTTAAACCATAAAATAGCGAGAGACTAAATATTCCGTCGTTGATGTCACTCGCAATTTTTTCGTTAAACTACCTCTAAAATATCTACGTACATTTTGCTGTCAAATTTAGCGATGAATGCTTGTCCCTCGTTAAAAATCCATCGCTAATCCGTCACTACTTAAAGAGAGACTATAATGTCATTGATTTATATCGATTTATATCGCTATTTTTTGATTTTCTTGTAGTGTAATCCGTGTCTTTGTCTATCCTTTCTGAATAGCAATATTTGGTCATGGCTGGAAAAAAATTCTGATTCTATTTTCTATTGGATTACTTTTTAAGCAATCACTGCCCAATATTCCAATTATTTTGCAAACTCAATAAATAAATAAAAATGATTTATTTAATATTAACAAGCCTATGATATTAATTTTTGTCTCGCTAAATTATCAGGCCCAAAAGGCCGAAAGGCACGTCTGGAGGAGGCTTGGAAAGTTACTAAATTAACAAGCATGAGGCCTTTGTTTTGTATGTACTGTTTTTTAGTAAAGAAATTTCTCAGCCTGGCAATTCATCTGCTTAGGTCGATAAAATTCGAAGACCCTTTGGTTTTGGATTGTTATTAAATGCATAGAATTACTTTCACCTTGAAAAATGCATTAGCATGCAGGCCATATCGGTTTTATCCTAATTGAAATACATGCACTTCATCTGATGACCAAATAGGCTTCTGACCTAATAGTAGTTACCTACTTCCATTTGCAAAATAACTATCTTTTACTAGATTCTGTTGTACATAATTGTCTATATTGTTTTTCTTTTTGTTTTCACATCAATTTGCGAGTAACCATGAGCTCTACGTTTTGTTGTAATGCTTTAGGCAAAAACTAGGCGCTACGCTCGTGGGTTCAATAAAATAAAATTATTTTAAAATTTTTAATTATAATTTCTTATTTAATTAATTTTTTCTAACGTTTTTTATAAATTGTTTTGCTTAAAAAAAAACATAAATCTTTCTTCTTTATGGATTAATTTTAACTAAAATATTAATCAAGAATTAAAAAAAATTAAAACATATTTTTCATAATATTATATTCCATGCGCCAAAAAATAAAGTTATAATTAATAGATAGACTTTTATAAAAACTAACAAATGGAAAAAAGGTTTCTTATTTAATGCTGATGAGAAAACTAATTTTTGAAATTATCTACGCAATGCTACAGTAAATAGAACAAAATTATTTCAAAATTTTATAATTTTTTTATTAATTATTACTATTTTTTTCTATTTTTCATAAAATTTCTGTTTTAAAAAACATGATTTATTTTTCTTTATTTAGGAATTCCTAAATAAAAACTAGTAATATATAATTTAAACTTGAAATATTAATTAAGAATTTAAAAATAAATATTTTAAAAATATATTGTTTTATAAGAATATATCCAAAAAAATAAAGTTACAATTAATGTATAGACTTGCATAAAAATTAACCAATGAAAAAATAAAATTTTATTCTTATTTAATGTTGATGAAAAGATTATTTTTTTAAAGTACATACATTTGATCTATATATATTATATAATCGTCAGCTTGTGTGGAAAAAAATAATAATTGATTTTTAAAAATTTTAACACCCAATTTAAAAAAAAAAGGAGCAAAAATTTATGAAAAAAATCAAAGAAAAAAACCAAAGGGAAAAAAATAAGAAAAGAAAAGGCATGTAGTGCATCGACTAGGAATTAAAATTTTTATTTTAAAATTTCAAGGATCAAAACGAAATAATTTGAAAATTACAAAAAAAAAAAAAACTAAGAAAAAAAAAACTAAGAGTGAAAAATACAAACAAAAAAAAAATAACCTAAGAGTGAATAATACATTGTGAGGGTAAAAAAAAAAGGAGTGAATAGTACAAAAAGAAGTTTAGGATAGTCAACTTCATTTAGTTTTAGTATAATAAGGATAAAAATTAAACATGATAAAACTTTAATAAGTAAAATAAAAACATATCACAAAATTAGAATAAAAAAAGAACATAAATTTTTACTAAAAGCCAAGAAAAAAATTATTATAGGGATGAAAATCAAATACAATAAAATATTTAATTTTAGTATAGTAATAATAAAAATCAAACATGATAAAACTTTAATGACTAAAATAAAAAGATATCACAAAATAAGAACAAAAAAAGAACATAAATTTTTACTAAAAGCCAAGAAAAAAATATTTATTATAGGGATGATAATCAAATATAATAAAATTTTAATATTTATTATAGGAAAAAAAAAGCAAATATAATAAATTTTTAATGACCAAAATAAAATAAAAATTCCTAAAAGCTTGGCTAAGCAATCGGAAAAAAAAAAAAAAAGAGGCAAACATTGAATGAACCGTAGTACTTTCCCATTTTCTTTTAGTATTTCTTATAATAAAATTTCGAGGATCAAAACGTAATAATTTGAAAATTACAAAAAAAAAAAAAAAAAAAAAACAAACCCACCTAAGAGTGAATAGTCCAAAAAAAGTTTATGACGATAAACTTTATTTAGTTTTAATATATTAAGAATAAAAATTCAACATGATCAAACATTAAGAACTAAAATAAAAACATATCACAAAATGAGAATGAAAAAAGAACATAAATGTTTACTAAAAACCAAGAAAAAAATTTATTATGGGGACAAAAATCAAATATAATAAAATATTTAGTTTTAGTATAATAAGGATAAAAATCAAACATGATAAAAATTTAATGACTAAAATAAAAACATATAAAAAAATAAGAATAAAAAAAAGAACATAAATTTTTATTAAAAGTCAAGAAAAAAATTTATTATAGGGATAAAAATCAATTATAATAAATTTTTAATGATCAAAATAAAAAAATATTACAAAACAGGGACCAAAATAAAAAAATTCAATTTAAATATTTATTAAAGGGATAAAAATTAAATATAATAAATTTTTAATGATCAAAACAAAAAAAATTACAAAATAGGGAGCAAAATAAAAAAAAAAATTAAAAGTTTCCTCAAAGCCTGGCTAAGCAACCGAAAAGGAAAAAAATAAAATAAAAAGAAAGCCGGGAGTTGAAACCGAGTTCTATTGCTTGAAAGCGTTAGTCTTACAATTACATAGCCTTTTACTTTCAGCAACTAATAGCAGGCTCATTATTATTTTATGTTGAATTACTTTTTAAGCAATAATAAGAATCCAATATTCCAATTATTCTGCAAAGCCACAAAAAAAAAAAAAAAAAAAAATCATGTTTTATTTATTTCATAACAACCAGCCAATAATACAAATTTATCATGTCTAAAAAAAAGGCAAAAGTTGGGTATGGAAGAGGCTTGCAAATGTATACGAAGGTTAGATACGTAGAAGCCACAAGTTGGCAAAGAAAATATCCCATGCTGGCAACTCCTTTAGTAAATAAGTTATCCACTGCTCGTAAGTAGAGGATGCAACTGAACCCAAAAGGGGTTGATGAAGACCATGATATAGTTTAGGTATCAATATATCTCTTCCAGTTTGGCTGCCAATCTCATTTCCCTCTTCAACATCAGCAGAAGAAGACGTTGTTCCTTGCATCTTCTCAACGTCATGATCCCACTTCCACTTCCACTCTGACTCTTCAAATGAATCTGCCCTCTCTACTATCACATGGACCCCAATTTCTTTCACTTTACTACCATTCCTGTCGTCGTTCCTCATTTCTAGATACAGCTCTAGCTCCTCTCCACAGTATTCTTCCATTGCCATCTTATCTTTCCTTACATAACTCACCCAAGATGAAAGGCCCTCAACACATTTTGCTGCTATGAAAAATTCAAATAATTGAATGCCGTTGCTTTTATTTTTTATAATAACCCTTGAGTTAATGAATACAGAACCATTGAGTAGTGCAGATTCAAAGACAATCCAAATAGCCAACCCTTGGAAAAATGGAGGTTAATAAAATGATGATAAACTTTCTTCTCCACGATAGCTCAACCAATCTGGCATGTCACCATTAGGGAAAAAAATCTCATACCCGTAATCACTGTTGCTCAATGCCTATATGTTGATTTCAAGGAAAGCGGAAAGGTTAGACACTAATAATTAACATATACTACATATATCAAATATATAACAATTGTGTGCAAGTCGAATTGGGCTTTCTTCAAACTAGAGCTCATATTAGTTAAATTCTAACCCTTTAAATTTTAATAGATGACTATTATTATTTCATATTCCTACAAGAAAGCTAGATTTTACCAACGAAATTACTTATGTCACCAATTATTAACGGAATTGTTCTGCCGCTAATTACCAATAGAAATTTAATTACTTTTTTTTTTTTTGAATTTCTTAATTATTTCTGTCGGTAATTCTTTAGAAACAAAATTATTTAATTATTTTTAACAAATAATAATTTTCATCAGTAAATTAAAAATCCATCCAAATTTTTTCGTGTCAGTAATTCAAATTTTGAAAAAAATTTGGACTTCCTTCCTTCCATAAATATTTTCTCTACCCCTCAAATTTCCCTCATTTATATCTCTCTCCCATTCCCATATATATTTTTCATCTCACACTTACTTTCATTCCCTTTGACATTCTCTCTTCCATTTCCTTCAACAACGTCCCTCTTAGTCCCTCTCCACTTTCTTTCTTCCTTATTTGTTTATATTTCTTCATTCTTTGTTCTCTTAATCAACCAACCGACAATATTTTGTTAGAAGAACAACTTCTTGTCTCGTTTTTCTTACTTTCTCTCTTTATAATTTTTTGATATATACATTCTTTTGTGTAAATCATATTATGGTTGATTATTTTGTAGATATTATTATTTTTTTTCTATTGTTCTTTTGTGTAAATCATATTATGGTTGATTATTTTGTAGATATTATTTTTTTTCTATTGTTTTAATTTTGTTATTGTTATGATAATGTGATGCTTAATCTTGTGTTTGATGATAATTAAAAAGTGTGCAAGAGATATGGATAAAAGATAGTACCTCAACAAGACTCCTCTTGTAACTTTTCGACAAACGGTAGCAGTCGTTAGAGTAAATCCTCAAGCCATTACCCTACCTTTCATGCCTTCAATCTCCATTAAATTTCGGCAACCATCTACATCCAAAAATGGTCCCGTTTTTGACTGAATTGGCAGTCTTACCCTTTCCATTGATGTGCAACCATTTGCACGCAATTTCATTAAACATGAGGGAAGCTCTGAAATCAATAAAAGATTTATGCAATTGCCAACATTCAAAATCCGGAGCTTATGAAGGTGGCCAATTCCAGAAGGCAGATTGATGAATCTGTTTCCTGATAAATCCAATTCTTGAGAAAGTTCAGATTCTCAAAATCAACAAAATTCGTTGCACCTTCAGACAAACCAAAGGAGGCAAGTTTAATGTTCTCAATAAACTCCAACCAGCCAAAGAAATTGGCAGCAAGGCTTTCCAATTTAAACCTCTTGTTGAAAGCCATGATGAAATTAGTGAAACCCAATATGCAGATGATGGAGAGTCCTGATGGGAACTGTATCCACGCAATGATAACTTTTTGATATATTTTAAACATCCAATTGAAGATAGAAGTTGTTCATTTTCGATTCCATCTACTAGCAGCTCAGTTAAAGATTCCATATCACCCATGTGCTTCGGAAACTTCTAAAGTTGTGAGCACCTTGAAATGTTCAAAGATTCAAGAGATTTTACATCACAAATGCTTTCTGAAAGAATCTTTAGCCTGCAGCATCCCTTCAAGTTCAAGAAAACAAGCATCTTCAAATGTCCAATAGATTGTGGTATCTCAACTAAACTCGTGCAATTTTCAAGTATTAGTCTCTCCAGAATGGAGAGTCCTTGGAAGTTTGGCATTTTAGCAAGATCTTTGCAATAACTGAGATTGATGATTTTTAGCTTGTTAAGGATCTGCCAACACATTAAATAAGCAAAAGTACTCAAACAAAGCTAGTAAAATGTAACGGGTAAAATTGAATTTTTGAAGTTGCATCTCACATACCTTTGAATCCTTCCATAGTTCTTTGATGTTGCCGTGCTGCATATCAAGAATAACAAGATTGCCTAGTTCAAAATCGGATGGCAAGGATTTTAAAGGGCATCCATGCCAACACAACCATATCAAACATTTGGGAAGAACTTTGAAGCATCCAATGAGATTTACACCGTTAATCTTGAGTAATTGTAAATGTTTCATCTTTATAAATGATTCGGTTCTCAAAGGTTGTACTTTTGATGCTCGCACATCCAATGCAAGACCCTCTATAGCTTCCGTTCCCTGAAAAACAACAAAATTCAATACAACTCTTATATGATTGGTTGGAATAAGATCTATACAAAGGCATTTCCTTAAAATGTGCAAAGAGTTTGGAAAAAAAAAAAAATAGAGAGATACCACTGATTGTGATTTTTTGTAGAACATAGTGAATAAGCATTTAGTTCTTACTATTTGCTTGATGAGTACATTCCATGCATCCTCATGATGCCAAAATTCGATTGCGTTTTCCAGGATGGTCAGGAGATATTTTACAGATAATCTCTCTTCCCATGTCTCGTAACAAATCATTCATGTTTATCTCACCTAAAGCATTAACTGTTATTAAAGACCTTTCTATGAGAGTTCCCAAATCATCTTCTGGATTGAAACCGCAACGAACTTCTAGTACTTTTGCTACAAATCCTTTCTTTCTACCAATAAAAAAGCATGCAACGTCAAGGAATGTATTTTGCAATTTATCATCATTCAGTGTGACAAAATTTATTCCAAGCTTTTCTTGAATATCCTGGTTTGGAATTTTTCTCAATTTATCAATGACACTTTCCCATCTAATTTTGTCTTTCTTGAACAAACAAGATCCCAAAACTTCAAAGACCCAAAGGAAGTCCTCCAGAGTAATCAGCTACTTTGTTCGAGAGCTCCACATAATCCTTCGGTGGACAGGAGTTCCCGAAGGCATGCCAACTAAAAAGCTGAAGTGACTCATCTTTATTAAATAATTTAGCTTTATATTTTACTACTATCTCAAATCGATTCAGTAGATGTTCATTTCTAGTCGTAATGATTACTACACTTCCACCACCAAACAAACTTCCATCTCCCACTAATGCATCTATCTTTTTCTACTGCTCCACATCATCAAGTACAACAAGAATTTGTTTTGTGATAGAGTCGTTCTTTGATCAAGCTTATTCCTCTGTCTTCATTATTGATCTTCCAACTATCTCGTTTTAAAATTTCACAAATAAGCTCTTCTTGTAATCGAACCAAACCATTAGATTGTTGTGATTTTTCTGCAACATTCTTAAGAAAGCAACTTCCATCGAATCCATTGTAGAGTTGATTAAATAAAATCTTCGCTATAGTTGTCTTACCGATTCCTGACATCCCATGTATACCAACAATCTGGACATAATTTGTTTCAGTTCTTAGCCAAGCAAGCATATTATAAACACGAGAATCAATGCATACTGGATGCTTGGCAACATGCAAATATTTGCGATTCAGCTTATTCCACACATCTTCAACAATATTTTGGATAAATGTTGATTCATGCCTGTTTATAGATATATAAATGCAACTCATCAATGACAATGAAATATGTTTGGTACTATTTAATATTGTAAAACAAAGCTAATATATAGTATCTAGTAACTATTTATAAAAATTGAGTTCTTAATTCTTATTGAGGTCTGCATGTGGATATTATAACGAAAAGACATACCCGTTTGTCGTATCCTTGAGAGGATACCCGGATAGATTCGAAGCCTCCTTTAGAGCTCTTCTCCATTTATTGACCTTCTCTATTTCTTCCTTTAAGTGTTCTTCATGCACCTCAAAGGCTTCTGCAAAACTTCTTTTCTGTATGCGAATATCAGATGCTTTAATATCATAAAATACAGGGAGAACAATCTGGCTAATGGTATTTTTGCACTCCATAATCTTTGCTAGACCACAATAGAAATCCTTGATTCTTCAATTGCCTTAAGCAGCTGTTGGGAGATTTCTTCTCCTCTAAAAAGTTCATCATCGTCACGAAATGTATGGATTCCTGCTTGAACTAGTGCATTATAAAGATGGTCTGTAAAATTCTTGCGAGTGTCTTCCCCTCGAAAACTCAAAAATACATCGTAACTGTATCCAACTTGAGAGGAAGAATTAGAAGATGATTTAGACTCGGAAAACATGCCCATGTTTCTTTGTATAGTGAAAGTTGTAGGTTATGTTGTCTTGGGGAAGAGATATATTTGCTTTCTCGTGGTAAACTACCAAGGCTTGTAAAGGCATTACTAAAAAAATGAGACTCAAAATATTATGAATAATTAATAACAAATATCATAGTGGAAAAGAAATCAAGAGAGCTGAAAAAAAAAAAACAATAGCAGGTGATATGTGCTTACTTTAAAAGAGAGATTAATCATAAAAGAAAACAAGAGAGCAAGAGCATTCAAGTTATGAATTACTATCCAGTGGCATATGAATGAGAAAGAAAAACTTTTGGCTTATTCTGAAACAATTATGTGATTCAACACGCTATCAAGTAGATCATAAGAAGTGTATATTGGGGAAATAAGACACAGAGTCAATAGAGTTAGAGATTGGGTTCTCATAAAATAAAATAATAATTTCTCATTATAAAGTTATATAGTTGATATTGTGTTTTTTAAAAAAAAATTAAAAAAAAAAATTAACCCTTATGATATATATCATTCATTTTTTGCTTAACTATTCGACTTATCTTTTAAGATCTGTCAAATGGTTTAGACTTTAGAATCTTCACTCTACCGTTAAATTTTTTTTGAGACTCTTATATCATATAGAGTTATATAATTGAGATCGAATTTTTATTTAAAATACTTAAATTTTATGATAGGTGGTCCATTCTCAATTTGATATATTATTTATCTTTTGTTTAACTATATGTGGGATATATTTTATGACAACATTATAGAGTAATATAAAACTATTTTTTGAATCTCATTTTAATAATTTAAACCTTTGAGTTGAGATAACTTTTGACATGGTATTAGAACCTTGCTAACAATCAAGTGTTCAAATTCTACTATCCCCACTCTTTTTTTTAATTAAATCAAAAATTCGAATCCTACAACTTTTACTTTCTCTTTTAATTAGATAATTAAACACAATGTAGTTGTGGACCTATGTAGCCCAATGACTTTTACTTGAGAAGGCACAAAATAGTTGTGGATCCGTGCAGCCCAAATGGCTTTTACTTGAGATGGTGTCCAAATGACTTTTACTTAAAAGAGTATGCTAGAGAGTAAATATGTGGACTTTTGTAGCCCAAATGGTTTTTACTTGAGAGGGCTCAAGGTAGTTATGGTTTTGTGTAGCTCAAATGGTTTTTAATTGAAAGGGTTCCCAAATGGCTTTTACTTGAGAAAATATATAAAAGAGTAACATAAAACAATTCTTTCATCCTCGATCAATTATAACTTACTGTTTTGAGTTGAAATAGTTTCTTGACACCCGGACAACATGTAGATCAAGTTTTAAGGAAACTAAATCAAATTAGCATAACATGATTAAAGTTGAAACAAAATCAAGATGGGAATTTATTGCACGAATTGACTTTTAATTTAGTAGCATAATCTAGAAACTTTTGTTCATTACAGCATCTTTAGCCAAGAATTAATACAAAAATCAATGAACTTAACTGAATAATGTAAACATAAAGTTGTAGCTGTCTTTTATCAAAGTTATTAGTCAAGAAATGAAAAAAAAAAAAAATCAAAACATCAAAGAAAGAAAGAAGAGTTACCCCTATATAGTGAAGAGGTTGGCTGAAGAGTAAATTGAATAGATAGAATTATGGTTACTACTAGTTTAAGTATGAATTAAGCTATGATATATTTTCTTGAAATACTTGGCTAGGAAATTGTAAAAGACGAGTGAGTCTACGAAATTCTTTTCCATGCATGAGCAGAAGAAAGAATAAGGAAATTTCCTTTGTCTCGATATGCAATTTTGTGGTGGTAGTTGATTCAGAGTTTTTCTACTCTATCCAGGACTTACAACTCATCCTGATGACTTGTACAACCCAATTATTGCTGACTAATTATAAAGAGACATGCAACCATCTTAGCAAAAAAAATATATATATATATACTGCAAAAGACGTGATGAATTTTAAGAACCAGAAGAACTCTAAAAGATTGCTAATTCCAGTTATGAATGGTAAATACTCGGTGAGATTCACCTAATGAGGACACAGGTTTCACCATCAAAATGATGGTAGGAAGAGCTTGGGGGAAGCTATTCAAGGATGATTTGTTCATACTGCTGTCTTAGATGATATTATAAATCCCTAGAAAACAGTGACCAGAACTACCCATACTGACATTCAGCAAAGTTAATTTCGAAGAGAGCACTACATTCAGCAAAGTTTAAGAGTGCAGTTACTGCAGTCCTGAGATGGTAACTACCTTAAAGCCTGCATGTTATGATCTTTTGTTTTTCATCCTATAAAGAGTCATTGATTATCATAAATGAAAAATTCAAAATCAAAATTAGAAAATCAAAATAAAATTTTTATTCTAATATTATGTTTGGAATAATAGCATAAAATCAGAATGAAACTTAAAATTTTTAGTATAAATTTTAAAACAAATAAAAATAATAATTTTATCAACTATGATGATATAGTAAAAAGATAGTGATGATTGGTGTTGGTAATAAAAGTATTGTAATAATAGCAATAATATATTTCAAAAAAAAAAAATCGATACCACCACTATAAGAAGTGGTAATGGAAGAAAAATAGTGATGGTAATGGTATACTAAAATGATGGAGAAGAAGTAGTGGCATAATAATAATAATAATAATAATAATAAATTCAAATTTAAGTAGTCGAGTAGTGATTATTAGATAACATATTCCATATTGAATAGTTAAATAAAAAATAAGTAATATAAAAAGTTATGAAGGAGCCACCCACCATAAGCTTAAGTCTTTTAAATTAAAAAATATATCTCACTTTAAATAGTTAAACTAAAGATAAATAATATATAAACTTAAGAAGGAGTCTTCTACCATAGGTCTTAAATCTTTTGGATGGAATCCAATTTTAACTATCTAATTCTATACGATATTAGAGTTTCAAAGAGGTCCGATGGTCCAGTGAAGATTTTAAAACTCAAGCTACTTGACAAATTTTAAAAGATGGGCTACAAATGGGAGAGAGTGTGATAGAACATATCCTATAGTGAATAGTTAAATAAAAAATAAGTAATATATAAAGTTGTGAAAGGGGTTACTCATCATAAAGTTTAAGGTTTTTTTTTTTTTTTTTTTTGGATAAAACTCAATTTCGGTTATCTAACTTTATAACCAAAGAGCTTGTAGCCTAGTGGTGGTAATCTCTTGTAACAAAAGGTCACGGGTTCAAATCCTAATAGATTAGTTCTACTAAAAGCCTTGGGTGTGTGAGTAAAAAAAAAAATGATCTAACTTTATAGTTATGGTGGTATAAGTAATTGATATACAATAAATGAAAAATAATACACAATATTGTGCTAAAAAAAAATCTCGTTCACATTGTTTCTTTTTATTCCCACCTCCCTCGTGAGAATCAAAGTATGTTTAATTTTCATTCTCATCCTTGCTCTATTTCTTTTAACCAAACACTAATAAAGTAGAGATAAAATTTTCAATATCTTTCTCACCTTTCTATTCTTTATTACCAAACAACATCTAATAGCTAGTATTATCAACAAGTAAGATACCCATCAAAGACCTTTGTAATAACCCAAAATTTACCCTTTTTTTTGTTTTATTTTTACTTTATTTATTTTTTATTTTTATGTTTTTTTATTTTTATGTTTTTTTATTTTTATGTTTTTATTTAATTTGAAGTTTACTAAAGAAAAAGAAAAGAGAAAAAAAGAAAGAAAATGATGAAAAACATAAAAAAATTCATTTAGGGACACAATTGAAGTAATTAGGGGTGCAATCGAGTAAATTAAAAAATTTAAGCCTTAAATTGCACCTCCCGTGGACCTAATTGATGAGATTATACCATCGAAGGGCACAATTGTTGAAATTGAAATGAGAGAACCAAACTAGAAGTTTGGAGCGAACGACAGGACCAAAATGGAGAAGACGACTCGTAGTCCACTCCAAGGCAAATTCTCTCCGAAAATCTTTGGAGAAATCTGCCAAATCCTTCATCAAATTTCCTATTTTGATTATGCATTATTGGACGGGATTAATACCAACGGAAAATCAAGCAATTTCCTGTTTTGATTTTGCATTAATCATGAATTAAAGAGAAAAAATTTTGATAGAAAATTCGGGATTTAGATTCGATTCGGGGAGTTTTTGGCTATAAAATGAGTTGAATTTCACAAAGAAAGGGGGGAAGAGGATCGGGCGAATAATTCGGGTTGAGAGGTTTTGAAAATCAAAAAACAAAAGGCTTAATTTTTAGTTTTTGGTCACCGCATTTTTCTAGGTTTCGGGTTTCTATTTTTCGTGTTCTTTGTGTTCTTGGTGTTCGGGTTCCAGCTTCATCATTGGCCGATCCTTTTCGGTTCCTTGTTTTGTGTTCCTCTAGGTTAAATTTCTACTTCCATAGTTTTCTTCATCTTCTCGTTTGAAATTCAAGGTGCAATTCTTCCATTCTCAATTTTTGTTCTTCACGATTCTGGCGTAGTTGGGTTTTCGGGTTTCTTCGTTCTTCATTTTTTTGGGTTTGTCTTCAAACTCCAAGTTTGGTCCACATTTTTCTTTCTTTCTTTTCCATTAGAGATTTCCGGGCAAAGTCTTTCGGTTGTTTAGTTCCCAATCATCCACAAATCTCCAAGCGATCCCTCTTCACTAAATTTAGTGTGAGGCGATCAATCTTACTTGCAAAATCAACGACAATCACCAACCTAAGCACGCAAGGTTTGTTCCTTTTTTTTTTACCGATTAGGTGATTCGTAATTCCAGCTTGTTTGTTTGATTATTTGTTGAGTTTAATTCTCGGTTTGTGATCGAGGCGGAAGGGTAAATGACATGTGTTGATAATTATTTGTCCGAAATAGTGCTTTAATTTTCTAGGGGAAATCTGGAAAATAGAGAGAGAATAAGAAGGTTGAGAAGAACAGGAGAGAGAAAGGTTGAAAACCGAAAACTTTTGGTTTTGATCCGAAAAATAAGAACAAAAGCAAGCGGACTTGTTTTTGGGCTTGAGGTCCGGCCCGACTCGCAAAAAAAGAGAAATAAAAAGGGCTGGGCTTCCTTTTAGCCCGAACCTACACCAACCCGAGGCAGACAAAAAAGAAAAGAAAAGGGGCCGGGTTGAGTTCTCCTAAAAAAAAAAAAGAGATCGAACCCATAGCCCACCTTTTAGAAACCCAAAAAAAAAAATAATAATAATAATAGAATTAGAAAAAAAATAATAGGTAAAAGGAAGAAAAATAAGAAGGAAAAAGAAAAAAAAAAGGGATGGGTAAAAAAAAAGTTGTGGGTTGATGGTTTAAGTATAGGATGATTATTTTATTTTATTTTATTTTTTTAGCTCTGTTTATTTTTATTCCTTATCGTTTTTTTTAATTAATATAGAATTGTTATTTTTTTTCTTTTCTTTTCTTTAATATGTATTGCTAAAAAATAAAAAATAAAAAACATCTTGACGATGTCTCCTATTTGATAGGGACCGACGTCATTAAAAAAAAATGCCTAAAATTTTGGCAAAGCCTCCTACTTGGACTAACGCCACCAAAAAAATAAGATAATAATAAATAAATACATTCGACGAAGTCTCCTATCTAATAGGGATTGACGTCACCAAAAGAATATTCTAAAATTCTCGACGAAGTCTCCTATCCGAATGGGACCGACGTCACCAAAAAAATCATTGTTTAAATCATGATATCCTCTCGATACACCGGTTGTGTCAAGGCTTAAAGTGTATCCGATGTTTGAATCGACGTGTCGTCCGACGATCGTTTCAATACGATGTCACGCTCAAAACTAAAATATTCAATTTGTTTAAAAAATGGGAGATTAAGAATCAGAAAATAATTTGACATAAATAAAACATTTTAGGAGATAAATTTAGAGCTAAACCGGACGTGGTACCTTTCTTCGGAAAGGGCGCTTTTGGGTGATTGATATCTTCCCAAAAGTGTAACCAACTCCTTACCATAGAATCTTTGAACCAAGTATCCATTTTAGGTTCCTAGTTCTTCCAATACTAGGTGGCAACTCCAAACTCGTAAATAAACTTATAAATATTCAATTTAAATTTTAGATATTTTCGAGGAATCTCGTCCGACGTCATGTAGCGACAACCTTCACAAGCATTCCTCATTCAATAAAAAGGATACTAGATATGGAATTATCATAATTAGTTTCCTTTGAAAACATTCAAAGATTCCATTGTCCTTTGAAAACATTCATAGATTCCATTGCTTAGAACATGATTTTATGGAAAAACAGTATTGACCATGGCGTAATCTCTATTTTTCTTTGTTCCAAGCTTCTTTGATACATAATCTATGTTTTTCTCGGGGTAAACTAGCAAGGCCTGTGAAGGCATTACAAAAAAAGAGACAAAAATGTTATGAATACTTAATAACAAAAATCGTAGTCCAAGAGATATCGAGAGAGAACTGGAAAAATTAAAAGGAAAAGTAGCAAGTGGTATGTGCATACTCCAAAAAAAGAAATTAATCATAAAACAAAGCTAGCAGAGCAAGAGAATTCAAGTTATGAAACAATTATCTCATTCCTCGTACTCTCTAGTAGATCATAGGAATTAGGAAGTATATCATAGGCAAATAAGACACGAGGTCAATTGATGATTTTATCTTGTTCTTCAAAATTTTCAGCAACCAAGCAGATCCAATTTTAACGAAACTAATCAAATTAGCAATTAAACTTCAAATAAATAAAGATGGGAATTTATTGCATGAATCGACTTTTAAGTTCCAGCATAATTAAGAGACAAGAAACGTGTGCATTCATTACAGTATCCTTAGCTAAGAACTAACACAAAAATCAATGAACTTAACAGAATAATGTAAAGATAAAGCAGTGTTTATCAGGAAATGAAATTAAAAGAAGAAAGAAAGAAAGAAGAGTTACCTCTATATGGTGAAGAGGTAGGATGAAGAATAAACTGAGGAGATTGAATTAATTAAGGTTAGTACTGGTTTGAATTGAATTAGACTATGATATATAATTTGGTTGTGGCAGTTGATATATATATATATATATATATATATATAATTTCAGTCAATGCAAGGTAGGAATAATAAAATGTTTCAATGAAGATGACTAATTACCAAAACAACTCCTATTTTTGAGTAGGGGTGTCATTAATTAGAAACAAATTAAAACAAACACTTTTTTTTATTCAACAAATATAGTTAAAAGGAATGGATGTACGTAGGCCTAGCATTTTCTATTTGGTTAGAAAATAAATGATACAGAAATCAATTGTATTTAATGGCATTTCGATATATGAAAATTTTAAATAACCATTATATCCACATCAATAAATATTATCAAAGACAATGTATCATGTAAAGGAAAAGCAGCAAGGAAATTTCCTTTGCCGCGTATGGGTCAATTACCTGGAAATTTCGTGGTGGTTGCTGATTGATGATCCTTTTTGCTTTAGCATCCAGCAGTTGACTCGAGGATTAAAGCTGTGTAAGAACAGAAACTATTCGAGAGGCATGATAATTTTTCTTGATGAAAGAAAGAATAAGGAAATTGTTGTTCTGCTCTATTTTCATTTTGACCAAATACACACACACACACACACATATATATATATATATATATATGAAAAATAAAGGAGATTAATAATGGGGTACACACTAATCAGATTTTCCTTGAATGTCACGTTCTATATATAACTATCAAACATTTTATATGCACAAGTCAAAAGGAAAAGATGCAGGCCTTGCATTTTCTATATGAAAATTTAAATGACCATTATATCTACATCAATTAAAATAAATTTATAAATATTTATTAGTGATTGATATATTGGTAAATAATAGTTTATGCTATTACTTTACTGTCACATTTGGCTCCACACGGTATTGACTTCAACACAGAATGGCCGAAAGTATACGAAATTAAATAATAGTTATATATAGTTTGTGAATTCCCCCGCCACCTGTTGTCTTTTTTCTTCATTTTTCTTGTTACCAGACATCCACCCTTCTTATTGAAATTGGCAGTGAAGTCACCCAACCTTGTCTTTGTCTTTCGATTTGTTTAATTAGATTATATATCATTTTCTTCTCGAATTATTATAATTTATCCTACTTTCATTGACTAACTTTTCAAACATATACATATTTTTCTACCGCAGGCTCCACACCATCTTTACTTGATCCACCAAATTCATCTATGAAGGCTATTGCTAAGCGTTCACCATAAATTAAGATCTTGGATGACAAGCAGCAAATTATGTTAATACAGTAACAGGGGAAGTATTAATGCTAGGCAGTCGGAAAGTCACTCTCAATGGACTTCACATTCCCTGCCCAAGCTATTGAATTCTAAAACATTTGGAAGTGACAAAGGAACTAAGGATGTTAATAGAAATAGAAGTAACACTAAATACTAAGACTAAAAAACAGAAAAAGATAGAATGAGCTTCAAAAATAAACATTAACCATTGATTTGTTGAACCTATCATTGAGTCCATTATGGTCCAACATCTCATAATCTTTCTGAAGTTATGTTTTTCTTTTTTTCAATGTTTAGTATATTTGAAATGTTTATGAATTTTTTTATGCAGCCAAATTATTCTGTCAAATACAATTGATACCAGCATTTGATTATTCGATGTCCGCTGCCCTTTCTTCTCCCTCTTGATACGAGTAGAGGGAACAAAAAAGAAAGCTTATGGCACTAAGGCTTAAATACGCACTACGGCATGAGATGCCACGGTAGTGGACAGAAACTGAAGGCGAAGAAGAGTTTATGACATGAGGTAAAATCTACAAACATAACAATTTATGGACAAACAATATTTTGAAGTATGGAGACTTATGTAATTTTGGGTTAAAATCTGAGCACTTATTCATGGTTAATTATCAAAAAAAATTATGAACTGCAATCACCCCAATAACCGTTAAAAAAAAAAAAGAGGAAAAGATAAGAGACTGCAATCCAATTTGCTACTTATATAATAATGCATCAAAGCATTCCCATCTTTCCCTATAGGTGACAAAACTGCACTGAAAATGAGTGCATTCAAGGGCCAAGTCATCACAAAGCTCACTACAAGTATGGCATGCATGACAATTCTCTGTCTTTTCAACCATAGCGAGAGGGTAAGGATTAACTGCCCAATATATATATATATATATATATATATATATATATATGAGTCTATTTGAGTTGTTATTTAACCTAATGATCATATTTTTTAGGTTTTTTGTTTTATGAGTTTTCCTCTTTCCAATTATTATTATTATTATAAGTGTTTCAAAATTAAAATACTTGTTTATTTTTATTGTTAGCACCCAAATTTTTTTCAAGAAAATAAAAAAATACAAAAAAAAAAGAAAAAAGAAAAGGGATTGAAAAAAATATTATCAAGGGATGCAATTGAAAAAAAGGAGAGAAAAGACCAAAATAAATCAAGCTGAATAATTTTAAACAAATGTACTAAAGGAAAAAGGAGTCTTAAAAATATGGGTCAAACTTCTTTTGTTTTGCTGATCGAAAGATGAATAGATAGGAATTTTAGTTTCTCACTTAGGTTGTATTTGTTTGGAAAAAATAAGTTCCAAAAACATATTTTTCTCATTTTTCAGTGTTTGTTTCGCATTTAGAAAAAAAGTCAACGGAAAATGATTTTCAATCAATGAAAAATGATAAAGTATTTTTAAGAAAATATTTTTTCAATTAAAAAAAAATATATATATTTTTCTTCTCACGAGCTATCTCGCTTTCGTGTTACTTACTTCTCTCTCGATATATTTTAATAATTTTTTCTCTATCTTCTTTTTATTTAAAATATATCAAATTAATTTTTAATTATCTCTTATCAATTATTATTAATTATTTAATTATTTTTTTCTCTATTCTACTAATATTTGATTTTTTTGATTGATAGATACATTAAATATTCTTAAAAACTATTTTTACACTTTAAAATTAATTTTATGATAAATATTTCAATAATTTATCTCTTTTTTTTATTATTATTATCTCAAACACCATCTAAACTATACTTAAATGATTGAAAATGATTATTATAAGACTGTAATTTTTTATTAAAAAAATTAAAATTAATTTATTTATTAATAAATATATTATTTTTCAATACTATTCATTTGCAACTAAATCAATAATTTATAATTTTCATCAGTTGTAAAATTTTATTGGTAATTGTAGTGAATAATTGGTTACAAATTATTCCAACATTAATCTTTTGAAATCAAATGAATAATTATTTACAAATGATAAATAATAATTTATAAAACTATTTTTTAGACTAAATTATTAGTTCAATTTTTTTTAAAAAAAAGAATTATTAATTGAGTTACAAAAATAACAATGATAGGATTACTTAGAATTTTGTTGTTTTTTTTTTTATTTACTAAATGTGAATATTAACTTGATTTTGTCCCAAGTAATTTTGATGAATTAGTTTGACGGTTAAAAAAGTATATTTAATTTTTTTTAATTAAAATTTTAGAGTTAGTATTTATGAACATTTATTAAATTTTTCTAAATGTATATTATATTCTAAAATTGTGAATATGCTTTTTTGAAGTTTTCTCAAAACTTGTTGATGTTACAATCACATACTATTTTTATATTTTAATTTTCTATATCAAACAAACGTTGGAATATATTTTCCATCATTTTTTTTATTTAATTGCCAAATAGTAGAAAATATTTTTTTAAAAAATAATTTTCTGAAAAATAGCTTTTTTAGGAATTGATTTTCCTATAAAAGTTGTTTTTCACTAAACAAACAAAACCTTAGAAGTTTCAACTTTCAGTCTTTTATGAGAAATTTGACACATATTTTCAAGATGGTAATCTGATTCCTCAATTTGTGGTTAATTTGGTTTCTAACATTAACGTTTTTTTGGTTAGGGAGCAAGAAATATTGCCACTAATTTCTAAATTAATTACAAATTAGTTCCTTTAGTTAAAAAAAATCTTATAACTTAATTCTTTTCATGATTTTAATTTTTTTTATTTTTTTTAAGAAATAAAAAAATTAAGTAAAAACTATCAAGGATTGATGAAAATATGATTTTTTTTATATAAAATAATATTAAATTAAGAGTAGTCAACATTAATTAAAATCTTTTTAAAAATAGTTTTAAAATAAAAAGAACAAATTAATTCATTTATTGAAAATAGAGGGACTAATTTATATTTTACTCCTGATTCCTACCTTTATATATATATATATATATATATATATCCCTTCAGTTTTAGGTCCAACAGACGCCTAAGTCCTAATTGTAAAACAAATGGGCCAGTGACCCACCAATTACTCATTTCATAGACCACCAAACCAAGCCTACATTCACTTCATATAAACACTTTCGAAATAGCACACCATTTGATATTTTTTTCCCCCTCTAAGAGATTGTTTTATTTGATTTTTTTTTATTATAACATATCAGCTTATTATGTTAATATTTTTCTAAAATATATATTTTTTAGAATTATGTTTGAACATTTTTTTAGAAAAAGTATTTTAATTGATGTATTTTAAGAAAATATGTTGTTTAAAGTTTTGATCAAATATTTTTCACGCAGATATAAATAAAAAATATATATATTATTTTTTGAAACAAAAAATAAAATAAAATAAATGATCATGGTAATTTACATTTGAGATAGCAATCCACACAAAACCTTAATTATAAGCTCACTCATCATTTATTCAATGAAAGGTTTAAATACATCACTAAATTCTAAGCTCAATCACTAACTGCGTCTCATTGCACATACAAACATACATAGGTATGTGCGTGCGCGCACACACAAATATATATATATATATATATATATATTATCTCAACTACCTAATTACCAAAAAGAGGGCATTTCTAGAAGCTCTATTACTAGTTAAATTATTAATAGTTAGGATAGCTTCCTTGCTTTACCACCGTGATGCTAATTAAATTTCTTAAGCCTCCCAAAGAACATGACAAGAATGAGGATAAATTTTCCTTTGTAACTCCACCTTCCAACAAGTCCAGTCCATGCATCTTTGCACAGGTTGTCTGGTTCAAGTTGTCGTTTGCAGCTGTAGCCAGTTGAGAGCCCAACATTTCCATATGCACTACAAAAATGATTAATTTTACAATGTAGAATTAATAATAATTTATAGAATACAAACAATATTTTGTTGATTATAACAATATAATCAACAAAAAATAATTTGGATTGTCGTAATCATTTTCCTGTAACAAAAGTTGAAAAACTTGCCAATATACCTTACGACTTCTACGGTGATGTTGAGCACATTAAAGTTGAGGGGGTCTTTCTTCAACTTTTCTTTCTCTGTGATACAAATGAGAATCACAAAGATGGCCAAGTAAGATAAAGGTGAGAACAAAAGGCACTGAACCAAAGATTTCCTTTGTCTTTTGCGTTTTTGCTCAGTTCCTGAAACAACCTCTTCCTGTTGCTTTACTAGCAAAAATGAAGTGTATGGTGGGAGGTACCTGCAAAGACAAAATATTGTTAAAGTAATGGATCCAAGTTTATAAGGATGGCGGGCAAGTCATGACTGATCAGATTGCAAGAATTGGGCTAGTAATTTGTAGGGCTAAAAATTGAATACTGATAACTCCAAATTTGGATTGGGCTTATAAATCAATTCAACCTTAATGGTAAACTAGAATAGCATCAAATTCCCTAAATTTCTCACCTTTCATCTTTACTTACTGAATTCTTTTTCCCTTTGTATCCACTTCAACTCCTGCAAATAACCTCTCTCTTTTTTTTTTTAAAGAATTGAGTTTTAACTCCATCTTAAAAAATTGAACTCATAACCTTTTTTCAAGGGAAAAGTATTGCTACCAATATAATTAGAACTCATCAATAAAATTGAGGAAGAATAAAATAAATATCAGAAATAATTTGCTTCAAACTGAAACGAATTTGAGCTTGAAAGGGGCAATACCTAGCAACAAGAATCAAATATCTGATCACATCTAAATTAATTAAGGTCAATAGAAGTACTTTTGTAACAACTAAATTAAATAGGATTTATACTCGATCCACTGCCAATGGAATCCAATCTTCATATAGTTAGTCATGCAAATATATATATATATATATATATATATATATATAGGGAGTTCAGAATCAATGAAAATAAGCTTTGGCAAATTAACTACAGGGCATGCAAAAAATCTTTATTGTGTTAATTAAGGATACATTTTGGACAAATAACACAATTCGATCTTGTGCTGATCATTAGATTTGAATGACAATATGTAGTGCATCGGCATACGTTATCTAAGCACCAAGTTGTAAAGTGAATCAATAAAAGTTTTGAACCCTAATGTTTTTGTGTGTTGTGCACAAGGTAATTAATTAATTAATTAAACATCCACATATGACAATTTTTAAAGCATGATGCCGGTCTTCCATGTCTAAAAAAATAAATAAATAAAATTCCAATGGCACTAAAATCATATTCAATTGTAGCGCCAGTTGTAGTGCCATGACCAGATCTTATATTTTCAAAAGATTCGCTCATCGAAGAATGGCCACCTGTTTGTATGGTCCGGCCATGGCTAAATATTCTCTCGATGTCAAAAATTATCATACAAGTTGATGATTTTTTCACATAATATTGTCATTAAGGAGATAAAGAAGTATGGGCAAACACAAAGTGTTGGGGTTTGTAGCTATATATATGGCTGTGATATTGCTAACTAATAATTATGAGAACCCAAAATGGAAGAATCAAATAAATAAAATTAGATATATATATATAATTGATCCATTTGGTAGACTAGGAATTTAATGGACAATGAATGCGATTCCCCTCCATCAATATTGTTCTATCTGGATTTGGTAGGAATTTTTTGGGATTGAAACGCATGAAATACGCTATTCGTTTGGAAATTGCATTCATGCGTTGGCCAATTTTTGGTGGCCAGTATTATGATTCCATATAAAATATAGTGTGTATATCTAAGTGAAAGTCCAATAGTATCCATATCACTAAGTGAAAGAATTAGTGATTCTATATATTTATGTAGCTGAATATAAAAGTTATCTATCAATATTTTGAATTTACATTTAAATTCAAGTTTTGAATAACATTATTTTTATCATTAAATTAGCTACTTTTCATCAACTTGTGTGAGACTCGACATACAAAAAATTGTTTAATTTACATTTTGATATCAGTATATATATATATATATAAGAAAATTGTGAGAAAAATTAATTTTATTCTCAATATATTTTAAGGTGGTTAAATTTTAATCCTTGTAGAGCTCAAATTTAAGTGCTCGTAGAACATAGGAAAAAAATCTCGAAGTTTTAAGTAAGCTAGAAACTTTTTTTTCTTTTTATGTTTTTGAAAAGATGAGCCTAACAATATTTTGAACTTTTCAAATAAATCATTCAAGTAATTATGTGTTTTATTTCAAAATAAATAATTGTTAACTTGAGGAGAGTGATATAAATGTGTTCTATAATTTAATGTGTTACGCAAAATTAGCACGACGGGGTCAAAGGAGTAGCGCTCTTTGTGGAAGCTCGAAGATAGACGTCCCGAAAGATCTACGGAATCTTGGACTAATTGTATAGGCTTGTAAGGCATTTTATTTATTTGTTTGTGCGCTTTTTTTTTTTTTATCATAATCTTAGTTGTCCAAACTATAATTAAATAGAGACAACATCTCTTATATTTACAATTATCACTTGATAAAATCCTAATAAGAACTTGTAATGTAGTTATGGAACATGCACAATTGCCAATCCACTTAAATTTTATGTTGTGTGATTGTTCTTATCTTTCTATTTTATTTTTCTTACTTGATTCGTTTCCTAATAATAATTTTATATTTAACATAAAGCTTTTTATATAGATATATAATTAGTAGATAACTCGTGTATTATTGTAGTTTTTATTTTATTATATATATATATAATTTTGAGAACAAATTAAAGAAAAAAACGTTAGTAATTATATATATATAAAAAATTTGGTTAGCAATAATACATACACAATTAATGATACCTAATTTATATAAAAAGATTCTAAGATATTGAAATATTAAACAATTGAACACCCGATTTTGCTAATTAGATATATTCTAGTACAAAGATCAATTTGTATTATAAAAAAATTATTCGGACATTAAAATTTTTATTTAACGATAATATATTTGTAATTAAATTGAATTTTAATCAAATACTAATACTAATTTGTCTAATTTTCATAGCATCAAATTTAAAAAACAAACTTACACATTCGCACTAAAATTAAGAAAATGACTTAGAAGCTTTTAAAAAATATCCTTAGAGCTTATAAAAAGATTGAGATTCAATAAATATATATATTAGGACTCATAATAAGTTTTAAATATCTATCGTAAAAATTTAAAAATATATTGAAAAATGACTAGGTATAACCCGATAGTTATATATCGATAGTTTATTTCCATGAAGTACGTTAGAGTTCAATAACTTTAATTTATTTAGTTATATACTAGTTAATTGCCCGCACTACACTAAAGATCAGATAGAACATAATTATTTTATTTTAATAGTCAACATCATTTTGTAGGTCTATGAAATTATACCAAATAAAAGATTAAAAGAGAACACTAACATTTATAATTTTTTAATAGAAATCTTATGTTTAATTAATTTTTCTTTATGTTTTTTTTTATATTCTTTCAAAAAAAAAAACTCTTTTTTTATTATTCATTGATTCTTAAACAAAAGCTTGTAATAATTTAAATTAAAAATTTAATCTAAAATACAAAAACATGTTATAAAAATATATTTCTCATCGGATCGTATGAAAATATAATTTTGCTATTTTTATTTAATAATAATGAGAAGATTATTTTTTGAAAATATGTACATTTGATTTGTATATATTTAATCACAAAATAGTCAATAATAATAGCATAAAAACCTATTTTTAAATCAATGGGTGGTTCGATTGAAATAATTTTTTTATACATCATGACTATATTTAGTGAGTTGAGAGTGTGAAGTATAAACTGAAAAAAAAAATTCAGACATAAATTATTTAAAATACAATTTTACCCTTTAGATTAAATTTATATTTATAATTATGCCACCATCACTTAAAATTTTGAGAGTCCATGATATAAATTATATTAATTGATTTTCTAAAAGAGAAAAAACAATCATTTTCTAAAAATTTATTCCAAAATATATATTCAAATAAAAATAAATCATATTTATTAGCAAACTTTATCAAAAATAAAAAATTTATTGGATAAGAATTTTCCTAAAAAATAAAAAAAATAAAATTTAAATAATAAGAATAATATAATCTGAAATATATATATATATATATATATATATATATATATATATATATATATATCATTCTCATCAAGCTATGCTCGAAAATACAAAAAATTAATGCTCGATCTTTCATAATTTTTACCAAAAAATCCTCAATAAAAAAAAATTATTGAAAAGTAAAAGTAGAAATAAAAAGCTAAGGTACACGCCCCATGCAGCCCACAAGTAAAAAAAAAAGAAAAAAAAAAGGTGATGGATGACATGTCCGTTACCAACTTCTAGCCAACTTTAGTTAGTTAAAAAACTCATCCAAAAACCAGCTTTTGCGGTTTTCAGCCTCCCAAACCCAACTTTAGAGTTATTTTTGCTTAAAAACTCCTTAGAATAACGAAATAAGGTTCATAAACTTGTTTGGAGACTTAAATTTTATTTTAATGCATTGAAAATTCATAAAATTCTAAATTTAACTAAAAAAAGTTTTTTTTTTTTGAACTCCAATCTACCTCTTTTAATTATTTTAAAATTTGTGATCATCACAAATAAATTCTATTATCCAAAATAAATAAATTGATGATGCTTTTGACGATCGAGATAGTTTTTGACAATCGAGGTGGTTAGAATGAATCTCAACATTCCTCTCTCTCTCTCTCCCCCTTCTCTTCTCATCCTTCTTTTCTCTCCCTCTTAATAGGAAGGGACCAAAATGTCAAAAAATAAAAAATAAATAAAATTCGGTAAATTTTGGGTAAAACAAATAAAAGAAGAAAGATGGATAGTAAGGATCGGTAAGAGGCAAGAATGGACAGCTGAATAAAAATACCGTAGCATCCCCGTTGACGCTTCACTTCTTTTAGTTTGTTTTATTAATTATATAAAAGGAATGACCATTCTATGCAAAAAGTAGTACCAAAAAGTTAATCAATTCTTAAGATTTGATTTATGAACTTTCCAAATATATATATATATAATAAGAAAGAAAGACTTACATCATAACCACAAGGAGCACTAAGTGCTTGGAGAGATGGTGGAGAGATCAACAACAGATTCACCGGAGTGCCTTGAATTTACAACCCGAAACAATGCAACCATCACCTTCCGATAGGAATTCGGACCATCCATTGTTCCCGAATTCCACTCCATAGAGCAAAAAAGTATAAACCGCACCATTATGAACCCCAAGACCGTAAAAGCCGAAGACATGAATGAGCAAAAGAGAGCAAATGGCCACAACCCATCTCCCTAGTATTCATCGAATGTATCCGAGCTCCTCTTTTTTGTGATTTTCTTCAAAACCCATATCAAAAATCTCGTGCATGGTGGGAATAATGTGTTCCCAAGAAGTGTTTGAGGGATGAGAATTAGGAGGAGGCCCGAATTCTTCTTGAAAGCTACCATGTTCTCATTTGTAGGCACAAAACCACATTGGAGAAAGTAGAGGCTATGGTGAACAAAGAAAATGTTTGTATTTCAAGGCCCTTATCGCTCGAGCCTTCTCTTGCACTAGGAACAAGACTTGTATACATAGCAAATAAACTAGAACCAATAATGTGAACTACTAAGAAATAACCCAAAACCACATAAGCTAGGCACATGATGGAGTTAAACTTTAGACTATGATAATTATCTAAAGAGTTGATAATACATTCTAGGTCTACATTGGGTGGTTTCCGATCAATCTCTAGCCCCGAAAAGTTGGAAGGTTTTGGAGGGCTATGGTAAATAGAGGTGAATCTACTTTCTTTGGTTTGTTGTTTTGAGAACCTTGACGAGATAAATTCCAAGGATGGAGGTGAAGACTTCTCCACCCAGTAACATCAAAATGGTCATGATGATAAGTTGAGTGTTAGAGAAGACCTACATTTCCACCGTTGACATGCTTGAAACTCGTTGTAGAAGAAATAGAAGTGAAGAAGATGTCAAGGCTTGCAGGCCTAAATGAGCTCGCAGTTCTCGGCTTTGAAACCTTCAAAGCCAAATATCCAACCAAGGAAAGGATTACAAAATAAGCAAGTTGAACCAAAAAAGGGGTATTTGAAAGACTAGGACACGAAGGAAGGACCGGATCGAACATTTGGAAGGTTTATGGAAGCAACTTAGTTTGCGAGTGCAACAGAATTTACAAAGATGCTCTAATTTCTTACCAAAACGAACAAAGTTCTTCATTTTCCTACCAAAAAACTATATGCTTTGCTTTGCTTTACCACATCCCTTTAGTGGGATATGGTGATTATAAAAGCGCAACAAGGACTCGTACAAGCTTGCTAGATAGAAATCCAAATTTAGTGGAATTTCACCGTGAATATGTACCTATTTATCTAATCATGCTTAGTCGAATATAAAAAAGGAATTCAAAGGGTACCAATGTTCGTTATTAATAATTGCCGATCGTTATTTGATTTGTTTGAATTCCGTGAACATAAAGAGATGTGAGTCTCAACGAAGTTAAGTTTGAGGTTTCAAATCCGTTAGGTGACATATCAACACAGTTCACGTTGTTGAAAACGAAGAAATTCCGGGATTAGGTAGGTGCATATATATGTTATGTTGGAAACTTGATCGAAGATTCTAAAACTCTATAAATTTGATAATAATTGTTTTTACAACATATATTAATTGTGACAATATGTAGTACTCATAGCCACGACTCAAACTCACCATTTGCTGTAGTTTACAAGTTATATTAATTGTGCATTTGGATATAATTTATATATTTTTTTAATAAATCATTCAAATAAAAATTATTTGAATTTGAAACTTGCATGTAATCATCACTAGTTTGAACTTGGTTGAAATCCGAGAGAAACTTGTCTCGAAGTCCGAGTTTGTATTGGGCCTTCCTTTTATTTGCCTAATTTTGATTAGACCATGTCCCTAAGATTTGATAAAAGAATGGTGCATTAGCGGTTAATACGTTGTAATTGGATAAGTTATTAGGACTAGTTTGAGCTTACTTTTTAATTTAATTATAACTTGTATGAGTCCATCGGTACTTTATACTTAATTTTTAATTTAGTTAGAAGAATGAAGTTGTGAGATTCAATTTGTGATCTTTAGTTCCACTACATTGTGTTTAATTTTTATTTAATTAGAAGAATGAAGATGATGAGATTTGAATCGTGATTTTTTTGTTATCAAGTCTTTAATATCATGTTAAAGGATTATTACAATTAAAAAAAAAAAAAACTTAAACTATTGGCTTGCATATCTTAACCAAACTCTTTGCATGGGCTTGTCATGAACTTGCATGGTCCGGAGAGGCTTACTTGTTTTATAATTTGTTAGAAAATAATATAAAATCATTCTTGAAACCTCATATAATAACGAGATCATCATGTTGATTCCGTATAGCTTACTAAACCGTAGACTATATTCATATCTCGTCTTCATAATTTAACATTATTACCTCCATTTTGTCTTCTAATTAAATAATTAAGCACAAAATAGTGATAGACTTATACAAGTTTCAAGCCCAAAAAACTTTTACTTAAGAGAGCGTGTTAGAAAGTAATATAAAATCATTCCCGAGATCTCACCTAATAGCTTAAGATTTTGGATTGAGAAAGTTCTTTGATATAAATGCGACTCTTTATCCGTTTTTGGTTTCATTGCTCGTTGCTTTGCCTAGTTCAATAATACTACTTATCCTAATGAGTTTCACGAACCCGATCGACTAAAAACTTCTCAATCTCAAGCTTTTACTTTTCTAGTTAGATACTAATGTCTCGCAGCTAACGTGGGATTAGTTCAATTCAAAAGTTTAATTTGTTGGATGGAGTCTCATAATATGATTTATATTATTCTCTAATACATTTATTAATCAAGTCGGAAAATTGAGATTGAGTTCAATCTAAAAGTTTAAGTTGTTATGTGGGTCTTATAATATAATTTATATTACTCTCTAATACACTTCTTTATCAAGTTAGATAGTTGATATTAGATTTCATCTAAAGACTTAAGTATTGTGCTTGGGTGATATTTTTCAAATTTATATATTATTTATTTATTGTTTATGGAATAGATTTTCTAACTATTTTCTTTACTTGTGGTTTATTTTTTGGAGCCTATCAAGCGGTTTGAACTTTACAATCTTTGCTAGGTTGTTGGGTTTTTTTTAACACTCTAATACTATATTAAGTTAGATAGTTGAAATTAGATTTCATTTAAAAAATATAAGTTTTGTGGTGGGTGAGATTAATTGTTGATTGGCAATAGATGTTGGATAGTAAGTTGATTAATTCCATAAGAAATGGAAGTTAGCACTCAATTTCATTCATACCTTCCAATGAATCCAATTCAATTATTTACTATATGTCGTTTGGTCTCTACGATATTATTTAGAGTGAAGTTGATCGACTTAAGTCATGAAAAATTATAAGAAATCTTATTGAGAAAGAAAAATTTTCTGTACCATATCCAATTTTTTGTTTTATATGTTTATTATTTGTACATGACGTACATGTATAACAATGAGGATTTGGTTGTTGCTAAACTATAATATTGGATTTAGTTAATTTCTTCTTTGACATAATTATGAGATTACATATAGAGTATTTGAATCTGAAATCCAAACCCGAGAACTTAAAGTATCATTGGAAATGGAATGTTCGAATATTGAAGTAAGCCCAACACAACTCCATGGCAATAAATTATTGCATTGGTCCCATAATTTTTGTGTAATCAAAGCGGGATTATTTTGCTTGTGTAATTCAATCCACTTGCAAAGTTATTTGGACCATGATGTGTAGAAAAAATGTTTCATGCTTATTAATATCATGAATATAATGAATCAATATATATGTTTAGAAGTCTAATCTAGAAAGGAAACAAATCTATACAAAAACTCTAGGATAGAATTTTGGTATATTATAATCCTTATAATCTCTTTTGGTAATCTTGTAATAACTCATGCAAACACCCCTCCTCAAGTTGGTGCATAGATATCGTCGATGTCTAATGTGTCTAGAGAATTATAGAACACTTTACTTGAGACTTCTTTTGTAAGAATGTCTACTAATTGTTGCTCCGACTTCACAAATGAACATTGAACTATCTTAGCTTCAAGTTTCTCTTTGATAAAATGCCAAGCTACCTCAACATTTTTTATCCTATCATGTTGAACTCGGTTATGAGTAATCTATATGGCTACCTTGTTATCACAAAACAAATTCTTTATTGAGCTGGATGTGTAGCCAACTTCATTCAATAACTCTCTTAACCAAATAAGCTCACAAAGTACTTTAGCCATGCCTTGAAATTCAGCTTCTATATTAGATAATGCAACCACTTTCTCGCTTCCTACTTCTCCAAGTGCCTAGGTTTCCACCCATAAAAGTAAAGTACCCCGGAGTAGATTTTCCATCAATAATGCTTCTAGTTCAATCAAGCATATATGTAACCTTCGATATTTTTCCTAAACATAAGCCTTTTTCTTAGATAAGACTTCAAGTAATGTAAATTTTGGAGTATAGTATCCATATGTTCCTTATATTGAGTGTGCATAAATTGACTTACCAAACTCATATCATAGGCAATGTTTGGCCATATATGGGACAAATAAATTAGCTTGCCCATAAATCGTTGATTCCTCTCTTTATTTATTGGTATGTGGTATGAATGTTCCGCCAGTCCATGGTTTTATATTATTGGTGTATCCGTAGGCTTGCAATCAAGCATTCCTATTTTGGCTAGCAACTCAAGTATATATTTCCTCTATGAAAGAAATATTCATTGACTCGATCAAGCTACCTCTCTATTCTTAGAAAGTATTTCAAGCCACCAAGATTCTTCGTCTCCAATTCAATTGCTAAATGTTTTTATAGTGTAAAGATCTCCTCCTTGTCATCTCCTGTGATTCTTAGGTATGTTACCATTCCATTATGATGCTTTAAAAATAAAGTGTGGTCTGAATTGCTTTGTTTAAAGTTGTGTTTTCTCGTTGCTAAGGTGAACCTTTCAAACCATGCTTTTGACGATTGTTTCAACGCATATAATGCCTTTTGTAATTTGCATACTACTCTAGGTTGTGAGAAAGTAACACCCGATGGGATTTCCATGCATATTTCTTTTACTAGGTTCCTATGAAGGAATGCATTTTTCACATCAAATTGGTATAAAGGCCAATCTAAGTTCACAACAATAGATAGTAACGCTCTAGATGTATTCAATTTGGGGGCACATGTGAGAAAGTCTCCTAATAATCTATACCATAGTACCGAGTATATCCTTTTGCCATCAATCACGCCTTGTAGCACTATGGATCCATCTCCTTTGTGTTTAATAGTGAACACCCATTTACATTCCATAGTTTTCTTTCCTTCAAGAAGCATCATAAGTTATCATGTATAATTTTTTTATAAATTTGTTATCTTTTTAATTATTACTTAAAACCATTTGGATCTTTCAAAGCCTCATGTACTTTGTTTGGAATAAACTTAAAAGATAACTTGTGCATAAAGGTTTTGAGTGGTTGTGATAGTTGTTGGGTAGAAATATGGTTTGCTATTGGATATCTCGTCTCGCCTTTCTTCATCCTCTCGATGATTATATATTAGGTGGCTTATAATGATCGTGTCTAAAAGGTAGTTTAAAAGAAGCATATCTATCAATAACATTGTTAGAAGAGGAGTTTAGGATTTGTACCGAGCTATATTCTCAAGAGTGTGGTCGTTATTTGGTACAAAAGAGTGGTAAGTGGGTCGCTTTTGAACTTCTTGTTCGGTTCCACCTTTTAGCGTCGTAGGTACCATCAATGGTTCCATATGGTAGTCTTGAGTTTTAACCCCATCGGCTTTATCTTGACGAACCTTGTATTTCACCTATATCGGCCTTATTAAACATCAAATTTTCATTTTTAGTTCCCTCAAAGCCTTCTAATCCAAAGCCTAGCCAAGTCTCCCATCCACACTCTAATTTCTACTCTTCATCAATATCATGATTCCTCCGATGATAAGAATGAAAAGCTATTGGTGACAAAAAAGTCTCGTTTCAAGAAAGGTAACATCTATGCCGACATAGAAGCATCCGGTACCGGGATCATAACAGCTATAACCCTTTGTATAAGCTGCATATCCT